ATCTTTTGGAGAGGGGAGTATTTGTAGCGTCGCTACAAACATTCACAATTCACCTTCCAAAAATTACAAAATTTTTAGTAGCCATGTTTTCATTTATTTTATTTCCGTCGGAAATTTTATTAAAAAAATGAATGTTGTTATTTTTAGTTTTTCAACAGTCTCGTCTGATTGTAAGTACGTGTAAGACGTTAATAGACGCGAGTGGATGAAGGTGCTATGTAATACGGGAACAATTTTGAGTTATTCGCGTTTAAAGTTTTTTGTTTGGAACTTTTTACTATTTATTTCTTTTATTTCTTTTTTCATATTATTCAATTTATTTCAACAACAAAATATATTGCAGTATAATAACTTTACAAAATGAAGATAAGTTAAGGAATTACAAGAAAGAATATGTACATGGCACTTTTATCCACTAAATGAGAGACAAATTTAAAATTTATTACGAATGAAAGATGTCATCTAAAGTATTTTATTATCGCGTAAAATATTTTCGTAATAATATTTGTATTCTTCATGTACAAATTGCAACTGTTGTTTCAAATTCAGTAACTTTTCTTTAGAAATATTGCCATATTTTTCCGAAACTCTGTCTGGATAAACACATATTTCTGTAGTCTTTTTATTTTTTAAGCAATTGACAATTTCAAATTCGGTATTTTCATCCAGACATTCCTTGTACGAATACTCCCCAAACTTTTCCACCCTAATCCACCTGATACCATCTCTAAAATGTATTTTTTTATCCGATTTATTTTTTTTTCTGTTATATAAACCGAGTTTTAGAGGCAATTGATCAAACTTTTTAAAATGGTTTTCCATATTCATAACATGTGCATTTTTCGTGCTTGAAGTTCTTATGATGTCTCTGTACTGATCGGGTACAAAAACCCGTTCACATTTTTTTAAAGTTTTTTCAATTCTTCCGAAATCTCTATCAGAGTCCAAATAAGAATGTCCAACCTCTGGGAATTTATGATCAATTTTTCTAAACATGCCCTTCAAAATTAGGAGCTGATATAAAGCAATGATATTAAAATTTTTGTTTTGGCCGGCACAAGAATCTGACCAAATTATTAGGTGATTAATCTCAGGGTTACTTTCTTTAATCATTTGGGCGAAATAATACAAACAGCTCGCAATTTCGCTGCTCCCTCTATTGGCAACGTCTTCAGTCCACGTAAAAAAATAAGGTTGTTCTTCTTTTGATATGAAATGTATACCAAAATTGTAAAACCACATCTGTCTCAGATAGAAAGCCTTAGATGTGGTTATTCTTGGCAAAGGCATGGTTTGTTGTAGATCCATGGTGAGATAACCAATTTCGTTGTTGCTTTTAGCTTTTAACCTATCCTTTTTCTGTTCTTCAAACGCCTTTCTGTACCTCTCTTTATGTTCTTCATTGCTTTCACCGCTGTCGCAAGTGCTGCAAGTGTCGCTCTTAGGTTGTCCAAAAGATAAATTAAATTTTGTAGAAAAAATGTTGCTATATGAACATAATTTTACTATGTACTCTTCTGGAAATTTTTTGGTGCGACATTCGTTTATATACAACCTGTACATTTTAGCTATATTTAGCAGCGGAGAAAGATACATCTTATTAATATTTTTATTCCTTGAATAATGTGATTGTTCGGCAGGAAATCTTTTTATGTGGTCAACAATGGATTCAACAACTTCAGCTGGCAATTTATGGGGCCTTTTATCATGGCAGCCTCTTCTGTCTGGACTTGGAGCTACCTCACCTGATTTCAGCTTTCTCTGAATAACAGCAACTTTTTTTCTACCAATTTGATATAATGACATAAAAGCAAGTTTGCAAACTTGCGTTTGTGTTGCATTATAAGTTATAAAATATTTAAATGAAAACTGTTTTGGATTTTTAGCTGAAGATCTATGGCGCTGAACTGGGCCAATTTTTATACTTTTGAAAAGTAAAATATTTTTGGAATTCTGATTTAACTTGTAGAAACTTTTAAATATATTTTCTCTTGAGTTGACTTCAAACTTCTCATCGCAATTTAATCTGCAACGATCCGTACACAGTACATTTTTTAGATTTGGACTCTTAGCGGCAATTTCTTTTCCCGTTTGAGAAATATATTTTTCCCCTCGATCTCTTGCAATCCTTGCCGTTTCCCTTTTCCACTTACTTGGATCCCTCTTCCTTTTCCTAGCAATCTTTTCTGAAGGTTCAAATATTTTCTTTTTTAGTTTTTGATTTTTTTCTGTCGAGATACTATCTGAATTATTTGGGGTATCTTCTCCCATTGTGTGTTTAGGTGTGCCAATGTGTGCCAATACATTTCCTTTGAATTTCATTGTCAAATCACTTGAATTATTCTCTTGTACCGCAATATTATGTTTATTTAAATCAGTGCTTATACATTCGTCTTGGCCAATACAGAACTCAAATCCCATACCTGAATCTAAAGATAAATGAACCCAATATTCATGTTACTTAACCATACAAAAAGAGGAAAACGCATACCACCATTAACCGGACGTAATTCAGCCATTTGAAACATAAATTAGCATGTGGAATTTATTTTTACTTACACGATTTAGCACCTGTCAAAATTTAGTTAAATACAAACAAATCACGGTAACTTGATCTACACTATCGAAGGAAACAAAATGGATAAAGGTGTTAAAGTCACATAGCACCTTTATCCATTAACTTAATTTAGATTGTGAAATTCATAGCACCTTTATCAACCGGTACTTTGCAAAAAAGTAAGAATTAATCTGTAAAACATCTTTAGACGTTTAAATTACTGCATAAAACACTTAAAAAGCCAAACATCCTAAAATTCTCAAAATTGTTACATAACACCTTTATCCACTCGCGTCTTCGTTTATTAAAATTATCTTCTGAAAAGAATATTTTTTTTAATTTTTAAAAATATAGCAAGTGGATATTAATAGAATCATTCTATTAAAACAAGCTATAGTTACAATGAGGTTGCTAATGACAAAGCTGATATAAAAAAACTTCTTTTTCTTTTAATTCTAAAGAAATTTTTATTAAAAATACTTGAGAAGTCGAATTTATAAAATTAACCTTGGAATTTTGTTTTGAAAACTCTATCCCCAATTCTGTATAATTCTTGCTACTCATTTACGAGAAAATTACGCATTTGCAAACTTTTGTTTCTGTCTATGTATACACTTTATCTAATAGCTTTTAAAAAGTTTATAAGGTACCTATTAAGGATAACTGAAGTTTTGAAAAAATTCCTTTCAAGAATTACATTGCGTAATTTTAAGCTTATATAACTAATTAATTTAATGTGTAAAATTTCCAAATAGAACTCTCTATATTATGTACAATACGTAATGGATGATAATGAAAAATCGACGTCCGAAAGTTTTCTTTTGTGCTACATCATTTTTGAAAACTATTGTCTTATAAATCTTTCCTAAATTAACTAACTATATGCTGTGAGTAAGTGTTTATAGTAACAGATTTCATAAAAACTCTTTAAGAAAAAATATTCTAAGTCAATGCAATTAATCTTAATTTTATTTAATTGTCAATTACTAATTTAATTCAGAAACGATTACTTCAGTGATTTTTAATAATCCCCCAATTTGTATCCTCATATCCTTGTCAATATTTAAATTGTTTTTCGGACGTAATAGTTTAAATTTTTCTTGGAATTGACGTAATAATTATTCGAAATTTTATCAATAATTGATTATAAAGTAATCAAAAAACAACTTTTACTTGCAAAAGTGGCAATTTAATGCGTATATATATATATGTATTGAAAAGAGAAAACAGTCTACATTTCTACGAAAATGTTCATTCTCGGTGCGATTGTTGCTATAATCGTGATTTTACTTACGTTAACACCATGGTGGTACTACATTTTATTTAAAAACAGAAAATTTTTAAAACAATTTCCTATGCCGACTCAGTTACCTCTTTTGGGGTATACTTACAAACTACGAAATACTGTGGGTAAGTTTTTATTTTTTTATGTTGTATATTAGTTTCATCTTCTTTGAAAATACTTTTCTTTCATGATCGTTTATCATCGTCTTAATCGATGTAATGTAGAGTCATTCTTATATATGTATACAAGTTTCGTCTAAAAATAATGCTTCAAAAATTTTATTTTAGCTGTAATCACGATTTCTTGCCATTAAATTTTTCAACAGGTTAATTTTTTTATATTTGAAACCCACGCCTCGAGTTACAATCTTCTGCGCCATTCTTGTATAACGTGATCTCCAAATATATGTACTGTTAATGTCGTTCTCCATGATGACGTTTTGTGTTTGTGATAGCCTGAATATTGTTGTTTATGTCAATACCTTTAGTTTTCCTGTCGTCTGATCCTCTCTTCTATTGCTTCGTTGCAGTCTTCACCAAACCACGAGTCTTCATGTGTCTTCCACGTGTCCTTGCTTCATGGGTACTATGAAGTGCTGTTCTTTGACAATCTTGACATTCAGATCGCCTACTGTGAGCCTGATATTTCTACAAGGATCCTTCAAGAAATGAATTTTATAGCGAATTTTGAAAATTATCGATGAAAATCTTTTAGTTTAAGTTTAGACGTTCAGAGGTTCTTGTATTGTATTTCCCCTCTCTGTTATTCTTGCCTTAAACTTATCTTCGTAATATTTACCTCATATGTGCTGTATTTTGCTTTCCTCTGTCACCATATTTTTGTTTTGCCATATTTTCTACTCATTACTCATTCATTACTCTTAGATGTTTAACTGTCCTCCACAACTCTTTCTTATTGTTTGTGTTGTCTTTAAACTTTCCCTCTAATTTTTTATGCCGAAGACTTGCCATACTTTATTCTTTGCATCTCTAACTACTTCTTTTGCTTCGTTCCTCCTGTTTATGTAGTTCTGTCTATTTCCTTCTCTTTATGTATCTCCTTGTGGTTAAACCATCTATTTCCGATTAAGTCTGATGCAGTCTGTTAGTGATACAAAAATCAATCATTCTATTACCACTCATTCTGTCACTCCAGAAATTCGCCAATACTCTCGAATTTCCTCTTCTCAGGTCATTCTCTACTCTGCCAATTCAATCCCCAATAACAATTACATGTCTAGATCTCTATTTAGCCCTCTCCCACGTTTGTTGCAGGTTTATAGAATGATCCCTTCTCTGTGGTTTCTGCATCCTCTGTTTGTGCGTAGATTATAAGTGTTACTTTCTCACTCAACACCATATCTAATGTAATTATTCGTGAGTTTATACCTTCCTAGTCAGTTATTTGGTAAGCTAAATCATTGCTTTTGCTCTTGTTCCCAGTATCACACCTGAAAAGGTCAGTTTATATCCTTTGTCCATTATTACTTCTTTACTTCCTTTCTTCTTTATTTCTGATAAACCCAGTATTTTGATCTTATTGTTATTCTTTGACCTCTTCTTTTCACTTTCTCTACCAACTCTTGTCCATGTCTCCACTCTCCCTTTCGTCGTTTTCCGAGCATCCGTTCATGTCCGAGGCTAGTGTATGTATAGTGATTAGTTCGACGAAGGGACTAGTCCTTCCGTGGATCCACTAGTCCTTCCGTGGGACTAGTGGATCGGGCAATAATCCCAGATACTGAGTCATCAGGCCCTCGTTTGTTATCTAGCAGAAGCACCACGTGCAAGTGAGATTGGCATTTGGGTACCTGGATGGTGGTGACTACTCCTTTACCCCCCATTTGAAGCCCTGTTTACAACAAGAAACCCAATGGGTCTCTTTTATAACATTGCAATCTATCAAAATCTTATAGAGATACAGAAAAATAGCCTTACTTTGGATCTTATTCAATTATAAAAATAAATTACAGATTTTGCTGGAGTACTACCGCCGACGTAATAATATACGCTGGTAACAGGAATTAGAATTAAGTAGTGATGGAACGGATATCCGGCAACTATCCGGTATCCGGCCTATCCGGCCATTTTTTAAATTCCGGCCGGATACCGGATAGTTACCAAATATTACTTATAACTTCAAAAAATATTAGTTAATTAAAACCCTATTACTTGGTGGAGTACCATTCCCAGGAATTAGTGTCTCTTTTAGGTGTAGGACATTGCAGATAATAATCTAGTTCAACCCCAATAGGACTTTTTTCATTGAATACAACTTTATTTATATCAAGTTTGTCATTAGCAACCTCATTGTAAACAATCCCAATACGATATATAAAATCTCTTGTTGCAGTTTCGTCTAGTTTTCTTCTCTTCGCATATAATTCATCATCACATTCATTACTAACAGAACTGTCGCTGCTATCACTTTCGATTATTAATTAAAGTATCTTCTTCTTAATGCAACAAGCCGTTTTGAAAAATCACTTTCAGTTCTTGAGAAATAAATTTTTGAAATGATCGACAATTTTTTCGAATTTTGCAATTTTCGCCGATTAAGTTTTAAACTTTCGTATAAAATCCAGTTCTTGGAATATGAGTATGAAAATTTCCCAAAGTGTTAATAAAAGTGTCCTCTTTCCAATGAACCAACCCGTTTTGAAAAATAACTTTTAGTTTTTGAGAAAACAATATTTGAAGTTTTGATAAAATTTTCGATGTTGCAATTTTCATCGATAATTTTCAAAATTCGCTATAAAATTAATTTCTTGAAGGATCCTTGTGGAAATATCACCAATTATTAATTAAAGTATCCTCTTTTTAATGCAAAAAGCCGTTTTGAAAAATCACTTTCAGTTCTTGAGAAATAAATTTTTGAAATGATCGACAATTTTTTCGAATTTTGCAATTTTCGCCGATTAAGTTTTAAACTTTCGTATAAAATCCAGTTCTTGGAATATGAGTATGAAAATATCCCAAAATGTTATTAAAAGTGTATTCTTTCCAATAAACCAACCCACATTGAAAAATACTTTTTAGTTTTTGAGAAAACAATATTTGAAGTTTTGATAAAATTTTCGATGTTGCAATTTTCATCGATAACTTTCAAAATTTGCTATAAAATTCATTTCTTGAAGGATCCTTGTGGAAATATCACCAATTATTAATTATAGTATCCTCTTTTTAATGCAAACAGCCGTTTTGAAAAATCACTTTTTGTTCTTGAGAAATACATTTTTGAAATGATCGACAATTTTTTCGAATTTTGCAATTTTCGCCGATTAAGTTTTAAAAATTCGTATAAAATCCAGTTGTTGGAATATGACTATGAAAATTTCGCAAAGTGTAAATATAAGTATTCTCTTTCCAATGAATCAACCCGTTTTGAAAAATAACTTTTAATTTTTGAGAAAACAATATTTGAAGCTTTTATAAAATTTTCGATGTTGCAATTTTCATCGATATCTTGCAAAATTCACTATAAAATTAATTTCTTGAAGGATCCTTGTGGATTTATCACCAATTATTAATTATTATATCCTCTTTTTAATGCAAACAGCCGTTTTGAAAAATCAATTTTAGTTCCTGAGAAATACATTTTTGAAATAATCGAAAATTTTGTCGAATTTTGCAATTTTTGCCGATTAAGTTTTAAAAATTCGTATAAAATCCAATTGTTGGAAGATGACTATGAAAATTTCCCAAAATGTAAATAAAAGTATCCTCTTTCCAATGAATCAACCCGATTTGAAAAATAACTTTTAGTTTTTGAGAAAACAATATTTGAAGTTTTTATAAAATTTTCGATGTTGCAATTTTCATCGATAACTTTCAAAAATCGCTATAAAATTAATTTCTTGAAGGATCCTTGAGAAAATATCACCAATTATTAATTATTATATCCTCTTTTTAATGCAAACAGCCGTTTTGAAAAATCACTTTTGGTTCTTGAGAAATAAATTTCTGAAATAATCGACAATTTTTTCGAATTTTGCAATTTTCGCCGATTAAGTTTCAAAAGTTCGTATAAAATCCATTTCTTGGAATATGAGTATGAAAATTTCCTAAAGTGTTAATAAAAGTTTTGATAAAATTTTCAATGTTGCAATTTTCATCGATAACTTTCAAAATTCGCTATAATATTTATTTCTTGAAGGATCCTTGTGGAAATATCACCAATTAATAATTATAGTATCCTCTTTTTAGAGTTGCTTCGTTAGTTAAATCAGCATCAAAAAAGTTAATTTTGTATCTTTGTATCTATTAATTTCATTTTAATTCAAATATCGCAATAATGTGGTAATGTAGGGTATCATTTCAGAAATGCACCAGAAATTATAACCATAATGGCCAGATAGATATGCCGGATAACCGGATATCCGGCCGAAGGGGATGTCGCATATCCGGTATCCGGCTTTTCGCAAAATCACTATTCCATCACTAGTATTAAGTATCATTCATTTTATTTCTTATTTAAATAAATATTATTTCGAAAAAATCATTAAATTAATAACATTTTATAATACAAATTTTGTTATCTATCAATATTTGTTGTAGATTTATACTATGTGATAGAATCTGAAATAAAAACTCTAGGAAAAAGCTTTTTCGCCATGGTAGGACCAATTCCAACTCTGTTCACTGCTGATCCTAAGATATTTTCACTTATTCTTGGATCCCCAAAGCACATCAATAAGCCAGAAAGACTTTCAAAAATGTTAAGCAACAGCATTGCAAATTCATTAATTGCAGTTAACGGTAATTTTGTTATAGAAATGGAGATCTATTTAATTTAGGTATTTAAAAATATTTCATTTTCTATTTAGGTGATGAATGGCGGCAGCAAAGAAAATTTTTAAATCCAGCTTTAGATTATACAAGCGTCATTGAAAATATAAATGTTTTCAATGAGAAGTCAAACGGGCTTATAAAAAGATTAGAGGTTGAAATAAATAATGAATCAACGGAGATGGGGAAGGTTTTTGGCTGTTACACATTAGAACAGGCTTATGGTTAGTAAAAATTTTATATTTAATCCCAAAATAACACAATATTCCTTATCATATTTACTAAATTGAATAAAATTATCGTATTTGAACAGAATCCTTATTGGGTGACACAGTATTAACTGATAAAACAGAATTTTTAAATGCAGTAAGACTGTTTATGAAAATTTGTATGGATAGAGCCATTTCACCAACAACCTACCTCCACGCAACATACGTATTCACTAAAACTTATTGGAAAGAAAGGAAAACGTTAAAAATTCTTTTTGATCATGTAAGAGAACTTATTAGAAAAAAGAAAATTGAATTACACGAAAATAAGATAATCGAAAGAAGACCGATATTAATCGATATATTAATCAACCACATGGAAAACGATAAAAATATTACCGAACATTTTATTTCAAGTCAATTAATAATGATGCTTGCTGCAGTAAGATTGTATCTAAATTATATTAAATTTTCCTACTTCAATTTTATTTCAGGCTTTTGATACGACTGCAACAACGTTATCATTTCTTCTTTATCACTTATCAATATTCCCAAAAATTCAACAAAAAGCGTATGATGAAGTATTTGCAATGCTTGGTGATGACATCAACCAACCCATAACAAATCATCATGTGAAAGAAATGAAATATTTAGATTTGGTTATCAAGGAATCGATGAGAATGAAAGCGTCAGCTCCTTTATTTGTGCGAACGCTAAACGAAGACATTAATTACGAAGGAACAATCTTACCTAAAGGATTAATGGTGTTGATGTTGCCGTTTATGATGCACATGGATCCCGATGTATATCCAGAACCTGAAAAATTTATCCCGGAAAGATTTCTTGTGGAAAATTTAAATCCAAATAGATATAGTTATGCCCCTTTTAATGCTGGAATTAGAAATTGTATCGGTAATTTTTTTTATATTCTGATTGTGAGAGAAAAACCTAAATTATTATTGTTTTAGGTCAAAAATTTGCAATGTTATCTATGCACGTTGTCCTTGCAAAACTATTATTAAATTACGAGTTTGTTGAAGTTAAACAGGAACTAATATTGTGTGCGGAGATAACGTTACGTTCAAAAACGGGGATTAAAGTTGGAATTCGTAAAAGGAATAAGAAAAATTAGTTTAAAAAATGTATTTGGTTTTAGGTTTTTTGTTATAATATAAAATTAAATCGGTGAATAAATAAATTTGTTTATTTTATAAATGTTTAATGTAACACTATATGTTACAAAAAATGTATTAAATAGAACATTTCTACATAGAAAAAGAANAGGAACAATCTTACCTAAAGGATTAATGGTGTTGATGTTGCCGTTTATGATGCACATGGATCCCGATGTATATCCAGAACCTGAAAAATTTATCCCGGAAAGATTTCTTGTGGAAAATTTAAATCCAAATAGATATAGTTATGCCCCTTTTAATGCTGGAATTAGAAATTGTATCGGTAATTTTTTTATATTATTCTGATTGTGAGAGAAAAACCTAAATTATTATTGTTTTAGGTCAAAAATTTGCAATGTTATCTATGCACGTTGTCCTTGCAAAACTATTATTGAATTACGAATTTGTTGAAGTTAAACAGGAACTAATATTGTGTGCGGAAATAACGTTACGTTCAAAAACGGGGATTAGAGTTGGAATTCGTAAAAGGAATAAGAAAAATTAGCTTCAAGTTTAATAAATTTATTTGGTTTTAGACTTTTTGTTACAATAAAAAGATTAGCTTGGTGAATAAATAAATAATTTTTTTATTTTATGAATGTTTAATTTAACACTATATTTTACAACTAGTTTCCCTTCCGCCGGAAATCCGGTTATCCGGTTATCCGGCCATTATGGTTATATAACTTCTGGTGCATTTCTGAAGTGATACCCTACATTGCCACATTATTGCGATATTTAAATAAAAATGAAATTAATAAAAAAGCTGATAAGATATGTCAACTTATTTGGATCCAAGATACAAAATGAACTTTTTTGATGCTGATTTAACTAACGAAGCAACTCTTTCATTATTATCTTGATGTCAATTTTTGACAATGAGACGTATATGTTTGCTAGTTGTTGATAGAAGGTCTCTTTCATTTCAAGCCCTTGTTCTCAGTTTGTGTATTGTTTCACTTATGAGTTGAAACTCAGTTATACTTCATCTTATTCTCTTAAGCACTGTGAACACCAACCCCAATTCCTTTTTATTTCATCCATGAGAATCCTCAGTAAATTCAAAACCCAATGAGTAATATTATTGGTAGTATGTTAACTGTTATTAGTATTGTCCGAGTTGTTTTCAACATTTTCATCATAACTGATTAAATCTAATTCCAGGCTTCTCTTCAAATTGCCTAATTATTCTAAATAAAAAATATTATCCAAGAATAAACGTACTAAATAGTTGATTATTATTGTTGTGATCACTAATGGTAAAATACCAGAATTTCTTTTTCCTTCTTCGACGTTTCTGTTTTATTGACGACATCAACCCAGCACGACAACCGCATCGGAGGGTACGAATTTCTTGTAAATAAATAAAAATCTTTCAAACTCACCGTCGTGTTCTTGCACAGATGTCATGCCGGTATCGTTGTAGTGACGTTATCGTGTCTGATACTAGCAACGTTGTATCTAATGTCTCGTTACTATTGAATATACTTATGCGTACTTCATACACAACAGCACGTAAGTATGGAAAGAAGGTAATCTGCGCGAACGTTAATGCATAAATAGAGTACATACCTAGGGGAGTGCTACGAATATTTTTTTGTTTACAAGATATATGTTTTTTTTTGATGATTTCCATTTTTATTCGCGAAACCTCCCTTTATGGAACCCTTGCGTTTCGCTCAGCCCAGATTGAGACACTGGAATATTACAATAGGTGTTGACTGCAGATCTTAAAACTTTGTTTTGAAATACTTTTATTTTTCGTAAGTTGAATACGTTACCTTAAACAGGGCAGGCGTGATTTAATTTAAAGTGAAGTAATACAATACAGTCTGCTTTGAATACAGATTTGCGATTAATAAGTGAGTGAAACTTAATTAATATCTGACGATATTATGTATATTGTTTAGTGTTCGCGATTATGTTGCTTTACATAGTTCCAATTTAACTTTTCCAACTGGTTTATGTGTTAAGTTAGTTAAACATATACAGTTAGAGAGAACTCCATCGCGGTTGTTTCTTCTACGAGCTTTTTACTACAATGTCTAAATCGTAAAGATTTTTCTCCAACAAATTACGTTTGTAACATTGCTATTACATGTTAACAATACCTAAGCATTAGTTTAATATACTTTAATATAATAGCTTAAATATTAATTGATTTCATAATAACAAAGAATTAAAGTATTTTATAAACGTATAGGCAATATATTAACGAAATGAAAATCCCGTGTAGCCATGTAGTTATCTCTAATTTTAGGCGGCTTTAGAACATTTGATGTTTGTTAACTCAGGACACGAAACATTGCGTTCGTCATTACCAGCACTACACCGACTATAATCGATCTCGTTTTGTTAAATGGTGATTCGACAGTTGTATGTTCGGAAATTGCTCTCATTCATAATGTTATTGATAACTGTTTTGTCTCTGTAAAGTTGAATTATATTCACCGGAATGAAGTGTTATTTTCGTGTGATGACACCAACAAACAAACCTCTCAACAACAAACTTTTATCCTTGTTTTTTTCACCTACTTTACAAATCGATATTTTCGTTGCCTTTAGAGATGGCGAAATATTAGCGTTTTGTCCTGTCAATATCATGATATCATCAGAGTGACGTCGTGTGCAACCGTTATCGAACTGAAATAAAAAAAGTTTCATCAATTTGAAAAGAACACATTTTCCGTTTTACATCTACTAAAGTTATATACCACAGTATAGAGCGGAAAATTCCTGAATGTTCTATATGGCCACGCTGTATTGTGCGCTTCATATAAAAAAGATATGACGTAGTAAACATTTAAATTCTTGTGCGAATATGCTATCTACTAAAGTTATATACCACTGTATAGAGC